TTTTATTAGATTTTTTTTTTTTTTGACTAATGAGTTTTTTGTTTTTTTTTTGTATTTTAGTTTTAGTAAATGTAGCATTTCAAATTAAACTTGTTTTATTTCAGTTAGCTGCCATGGCAACATTTTTTTAAGCTTTTCATCTAATGTTTTATTATATTTTATTATTTTATAATACTTAATTTTATTATTTTATTTCAATTAATGAAAACAACTGTTTAGTAGTTTTAGTTGCAATACTAAACAATAACACTTCTCCAAAGAACATAAAACCATCAAAGACACATTTAAAAACTTATATTGTCAATTTTCCTATTCAGCTGATGTCAGTTTTGCATATTGTTTGACCAGCGCAGTTCAGAAATCACGGTGACATTCAAACATTTCAAAGATTGATTTTAAGGTCATATTAGGGTCATGCTTTAATGCAATAAATCATTTTGGTACTGAAGTAAAACCAGTCATGTGCTCACTCCCTTAAAGGAGTTTATTTTCTAAAGGGTCAAAAGTTGAAGAAACCAATTCATACAGCTACTAAACTCATATGAACAGAGTATATGCTAATAATGTGATATTTTGGCACACGCTGGAAATCTAGAAAATTTAGGCTGCAACTTCTGTTATTAGCCACATAAAAAACTCCAATCCTCCAATGAAATAAACCACTCCGACGTTTCTACAAAAGCTTTTATTAGGTCTCTTTCTCATGAAGTGGTGAAATGAGCAAAACGCTGAGCTGTCATTTCAGATTTGGAAAGCGCACACTCATTAGAAACTCTAGGGTGTATTTTGCATACAGCAGGCTTGTTGAGTGTGCGAGACTATGAAAGTATGATGACGGATCTTTGTCAGTGTACAGAGAGTTGTACACGGCTAATTAAAGCAGCACCTGCCCAGTGATCGGACATCTGCTGTGAACAGACACTCAGATCTGAGACAGAATGGCTTGTATGAGGTTTCCCATCCGTGCTGCTAAAGAGGAAGCGTTCGGCTCGTTTCCCCTCTGTGTGGGCGCAGAAATCAGAAGTGAGTTTGTGTGCGAGTGTGCCAGGATTCCCCGTGACCGCATTAAAGCGGCACAAGAACAGCCTCTGGCATACGGTTTTCTAAACCACAATTGAAATAATGAAAATGCATTAGTGCTGAAACACAACAATAAATAGTGGCTTACATTGGATTCATCTTTACAAAAAACTAGTGAACCTATCCAGACAGCATTTTTGGGCATCACATGTGCGTTCAATATGTCCAGGGATGCAGTCCGCTCAGTTTTAAGCCATAGGTATAGTCTGTAATATAATGTAGACGTGTGTGGGTGGGTGTTTACGGTGTTTTCTAGAACATCACTGTATAATGACCTCAGTTCATGACCTTTACGTGCTGAAATTCCCTTTGTGTTCTAATATTCTATTAAATTGGAATCCACCATGAATTAATTGTCCAGAACTGTATTCATAATCAACATTTCCTTCAACTAATTTTCAATGCATGTTGCAATGTATTCTGGGCTTGCTTCATACTTGAAGGATATGCAATACCTTTCAACAAAATGTATTACTTTAATTTTATATATATATATATAAAATATTTACATTTTGAATTATACTATATATGCTTCAAGTACGAAGTAAGCCCAGAATACGTTTATAATAATACATTTTTATATACATATAAATATATATAGAGAAAGAGAGAGAGAGAGATATATAGAACGATAGATAGAACGATAGAACGATAGATAGATAGATAGATAGATATAATTTTTTTAAATAAGTCTCTTCTACTCAGGTTGCAGGATCAAAAATGCAGTAATATTGTGAAATATTGTAAAATATTACAAATAATTTAAAATAACTGTTTTCTATTTGAAAATATTTTAAACTGTAATTTATTCCTGTGACGTAAAGCTGAATTTTCAGCATCATTACTCCAGTCTTCAGTGTCACATGATCTTCAGAAATCATTCTAATATGCTGATTTGCTGCTCGAGATTTCACGTTCATATTTCATATTTTTGTGGAAACTGTGATACATTTTATTTTTCAGGATTCTTTGATGAATAGAAAGTTCAAAAGAACAGCATTTATTTGAAATAGAAATCTTTTGTAACATTTTGACTTTTGAGCAATTGAATGCGTCTTTGCTGAATCAAAGTAATAATTTCTTTCAAAAACAAAAATCTTTCTGACTATAAACTTTTGAACGGTAAGTGTATATGATGTTGTTTTTAGTCAAAAGCAGGCATCTTAAAAAGCAGATAAATTCTGCTGCCTATAAATGGAAAAACCTTCTCAAACCTGATCTATGACATTACCTAGTTAGGCAGCTCACTAGGGTTTGGAACGCAGTCTGCGGTACCTTAAACTTGTCCAGCATGCGTGTGAGTCGACTGAAGAGGTGTTCGGCTTTGCTGAAGATGGTCAGGAAGCCGCTGGCGTTGCGTTCGATCATGCAGGTGAATATGGGCTCCTCTCCCGTCTCGCTCACGCCCTTAAACTGGTTCGGGATACAGATGAACCTTTTCATCTCGCGGTAGTACTTTGCTCTGACCTCCTCGAACGCAGGACGGAACTGCAGCCGCCCCTGCCTGCAGAAACGCAAGATATTAAACGATAGTTCATCCACAAATGAGGGTGAGTAAATGTTTCGGTGGGTTTTTGAGTGAACTGCTCCTTTAAAACACAACAAGAGGAGTGGGGCTCTTACTTGAAGATGAGGTCGATGTTAATCTCCGGCAGGTTCTTGTTGAGGGCCTCCAGTCCCACCTGATACTGATGCTCCAGAGCTTTATACAGCTGATGGTTCCAGTGCTGACGCCAGGCCCTCATGTCTCCTGCACGAAACCCCTGAACACACACACACACACACACTTTAACAGAGACGTTTAAGGAGTCTGATAGAAACATTGACTGTTCCAAAGCCCAGTGAACTGCCTACGTAGACAGCATTGTTAGACACCACAGGGACAAAACTGTGCCACCTAACAAGGCATATGAGGTTCCACTTTGGTAAGAATGTTGCAATTTTTCTGATAAAAATCATGACTGTGATTTAAAATGTAAAAAAAAAAAAATGCTGTGCTTGTTTGTAAGCTTGCACAATTTGGCCAAAAGTGTTGTGATTATATATCAATATGACTATAAAAAAAAAATATATATATATTTTTTTTTTGCTAAATTGTGCATACTGTTTTTATTTACTACTACTACTACTAATAATAATAATAATAATAATGATTTTTATATAGTAATACCGATATAATATCACAACATATTTGGCCAAACTGTGCATACTTGATTTTTTATTTTACAGTGATTTTGTTTATTATTTTAGTTAGTACTACTACTACTTCTACTATTACAAATAATTATTATCATTATTAATATTTTTATACAGTAATACTGATATAATATCACAAAATTTTTTAGCCAAAATGTGCATACTCCGTTTTCCATTTTAGAGTAATTTTATTTCATTTAGTACTATTACTACTAATAAAAATAATAATAAAAAATAAAAAAAATAATGCCAAATTGTGCATATTTGTTTTTTTTATTTTACATTGATTGCATTATATTAATTATTACTATTATTACTAGTAAATAAAATAGTTTTAAAAATCACTGTAAAAAATCAAGCATTTAAGACAAATAATATAATAAATGTATTTTACAGTACAACTGTAAAATTACAATACTAATATTTATGGCTGTCTCAATTTCTTCATTATCAAACATTAAACCATCACACTTTTATTTTGGAAAAGAGTAGGAAGTCCTTCTCTTTTGTTGTCAAAAACCATTTGGGAAGTTTGGGAAGATGGTTGGCACAAGTTGTACGTTATAAGTGACCCAAACTCAGAGCAGATGCAGAGATGAGTTTGTATGGAGCAGCATTTACTGGAGCATTTACTGGAAACGGAGCCGCTCTGCAGACAGCAAGGCAGTATTTGAGCAGATATGAAGAATCATGATCACCTGAGACTCTAGTGTGGCGAATCCAGTCCTGAGATCCTGAAGAGCATCTTTCCACCTCTGCTGCTGACGCAGGAGATCCACTCCCATCAGACTCACTACCTATAAAACACACACACACATACACACACAATGGCTCTTCCATGCTAATCTGAATTTGTGTCGACCCTCCGAACGGTCAAGTCAGCATGAGGTATCAGGTTGAAGGCCTGAGGAAGAGGAGAGAGGAAGATCACCTTGTCAGTGAAGTCGGTGTGCCACTTTCTGAGTTCAGATGCAGAGATGAGTTTGTGTGGAGTAGCATTTACTGGAGCATTTACTGGAAACGGAGCCGCTCTGCAGACAGCAAGGCAGTATTTGAGCAGATATGAAGAATCATGATCACCTGAGACTCTAGTGTGGCGAATCCAGTCCTGAGATCCTGAAGAGCATCTTTCCACCTCTGCTGCTGACGCAGGAGATCCACTCCCATCAGACTCACTACCTATAAAACATACACACACATACACACACAATGGCTCTTCCATGCTAATCTGAATTTGTGTCGACCCTCCGAACGGTCAAGTCAGCATGAGGTATCAGGTTGAAGGCCTGAGGAAGAGGAGAGAGGAAGATCACCTTGTCAGTGAAGTCGGTGTGCCACTTTCTGAGTTTGCGGTTCTCCGTGGAGAGTCTCTCTGCGGCACTCTGCAGTTTACTGATGTACTGCTCCAGCTCTTTAGGATTCTCCCACGTGATCTGGAGTTTTCCGCCTTCGTCACGAGATTGAGACCGTGGATTCTGCTGCAAAACAAATATCATACAACAAACAGATGATGCATAGTCTTTATGTGCCCAGTTTATTACACTATGACATTCAAAACACTGCCTGTACACACTTTAGTATGCACTAATGTAAGAATTTTTTTGATCTGAAAGAAACGAATACTTTTATTCAGCAAAGACGCATTGATCAAAGGTGAAAGTAGACATTTATAATGTTACAAAAGATTTATACTTCAAATAAATGCTGTTCTTTTGAACTTTCTATTCATCTGTGAATCCTGAAAAATAAAATGTATCATAGTTTCCACAAAAATATGAAGCAGCACCACAGAATATTAGAATGATTTCTGAAGGATCATGTGACACTGAAGACTGGAGTAATGATGCTGAAAATTCAGCTTTGCATCATAGAAATAAATTACATTTTACAATATATTCAAATAGAAAACAGTTATTTTGAATTGCAAAAATATTTCACAATATTACAGTTTTTACTGTATTTTGATCAAATAAATGCAGTCATGGTGAGCAGAAGAGACTTCATTCAAAAACAATTCAAATCTTACCGACCCCAAACTATTGAGCGGTAGTGTATCTCTGTATAATACAGTAAAATACAGTTTCACAGCAGTAGGACAAATAGTTACCTTGATGACCTGTTCAAAGGCCAGCGCACAGCCGAGCATCATGGGTCGTTGAGAAGGGATCATCTGCTGATCGATGGTGTTGTAGAAATGAGCCACCTGTTAAACACACACAAATACATGTACACACACATAAACACACACACAACACATGTCTACACACAATATTGCTTTAATACAATGCAATATTTGATGGGGAAACTACTTAAAACTTTTAACAAAAAAGTAGCTAGCTACAATAGTTATCGACTTTAATAACTATCAGATTGTATAACTGACTTGAAAAAAAATCAGAGCAGCATTTATTTGGTGTGAATTATATTGAGTTTTGACTCAGATGAATCAGTGATTCATTTCACTGATCTAAATGAACTGATTAACAAAATTGAATCTAACTTCCTAATGCTACCTGAAAGAGAGAACACTCTAGAATGGAATACTGTTTAGAAATGTCACTATACTCAAAAATGTAGTTCAGTTAGTAGTCATACTGCTACTTTTAGTTAGTTACTCTCTCCATATGTATGTGTGTGTGTGTGTGAATGTGTGTGTGTGTGTGTGTGTGTTCACACACCTGTTTGAGGATGATGGCCTGTCTGTAGAACTTGTCGGCGGTGTTTGCCGCCTGCTGGATCTTAGCAGGGATGGTGAAGCCCAGAGCGGAGAGCTGCCGCACCTCTCGGAGTAAACTCACCAGCCGGTCCGAGTACTGGATCTTCAGTTTACCATCCATGTGATCCAACTCCATGACGCGATTACTGGCCTGCAAACTACACACATACAGGACAGATCTGTGGTGGTGCTCACGCCACTCACTGTGCGAATTTGCTTTGAAAATGTCGATACAAACAGAGTAAAAGCTTAATGATGAAACTTTGACCAACACATTATAGTGAGTGAACTTTTGGAGGAAAATAATAAAGTCATGTTTTTGTGACATATATAGAGATATATTGTATTTCCCAGCATGTAAGTCACATTTTTTATCATCTGAAACTTATAATGCAGTTAACATCAAGCATGCAAAACACAAATTTGTATTAGTTTAGGTTTGGTGTTTATGATAAATGTTTATAATGAATGCTATTTACTGTATATTTTTCATTACTGTTTTGTTCTGAATCCGTTATTTTATTTAGCATTGATATATGATATAGTTTTTGTTAATATTTGATTTTATTTTTATATTTTCAGTTTTTACTTTAATTTTAGTTACATTTTTAGTAATTTAGTTGTGTTTTGTCATTTTTAATAGTTTTTTTTTATGTCTGTATAGTATTTATACATTTTTATTTATTAGTGTATTTGGTTTTAGTTATTAATCTAAATGAAAATGAGAAATGTTGCCTTGGCAACAAAGTTTTTTTTTTTTTCAGTTCATTTTTATTTTATTTCAAGTAACGAAAATGTTTTTTTACGGTTTTATTTTTAGTTAGTTAACAATAATAATCTGAATACTGTTAAATTGAAATAATTTTTTGCAGTGTGAAGGGAAAATACATATTTATAGTGTTTATGTTTGTAAACGTTTAGTTTCTAAATGTAATAATAAAACATGACTTAAACAATGATGTGATTATCTGTGTTTTTTTCTTCTCAACAATGCAATTTTTGACTTATTTTCAGGTGTGACTTAAATAAATAAAATGTTGCAAAAGCGCACAAAATGACACTTAAATGAAATATTAAAAAACCAAGAGGGGTCTGTTAAATGGAGAGTTTACTTCGTTTAGAGCAATGGAAGTCTATGGGATCCCCTTAAATCTATGTCTACATGTTTACTGTGTGTGTGTGTGTGTGTGTGTGTGTGAGTGTGTGTGAGTGTGTGTGAGAGAGAGCTATGGGATGTCCCCACTTTTCACAAAAACAAACCTCTGTGTGTGTGTGTGTGTGTGAGAGTGTGTGAGAGTGTGAGTGTGTGTGTGTGTGTGTATGTGTGTGTGTGTGTGTGAGTGTGAGTGTGAGTTTTTTAACCTGATTCCAGATTTGGGATCAAACAGTCCTGACAGCAGGTCTCTGCTCCAGTCTTCAAACTGCTCTTGCTCGTACGATCTCATCTGCTCCTGCAGCTCATCACAGAAACGGAGCAGCGGCCGAAACCCAGACAGATCGGAGAGCAACGCGTCGGCCATCTTCAGAGAGTCCTCCACCTGCACACACATACTTCAGCTGCTGTAACTCATGACCGATTCTAGTCCTTCACCACCTTCAGTGCTCTATTAAATGGTTCATTTAAATGCTTCTCTACATTAGTATGTGTTGATGAAAATGGTCTGTGTGTCCGCACCTTAAGCAGCAGCTGTCTGACCCACACAATATTGTTGATGACCTCTGGAAGGTTTCGACCTGCTAGAGGGCCGGTTTTCTCTCCTGGAGCACCGTGACAGCGGTTCTCGAAATCCACCCGCAGCCCTGCACAACAACACCGCTAGCATGAAGCACTCTCTACTGTCTCTCTCTCCTTATGGGAAGACAGTTATGAATCTAGATAGCCTTAGTCATTAAATAGCGAATTTATAACGAAAACTAAAACTATTATCATTTTCGTTTATTTAAATAAAAATGAACTAAAATAAAATAAAATAAAACCTTAAACATAAAAAAACTTAAATTAAAAGTTTAAAGACTAAAATTACTAAAACCAAAATAAAAAATAAAGCTAAATAGAAATGTTTAAAAGTAAAAACTAAAAACTAATAAAAATGACAAAAGCACATAACAAAATTACTAAGACTTAAACTAACATTACATTGAAAACTGAAAATATAAAAATAAAAGTTAAATCAAAATGTAATAAATACTTTATCTTTCTAAAGTTGCTTATGAGTATTTAATTGATTTGAATTTTATGTGAAATCCTATTTTCAGTGTTTGTTCTTATGTTTCTATTTTACCTTGTGAACTTATTTACATTGATATTTTGTGAAATTGTATCTTTTATTAATCTATTTTATCCTGTGAAACACTTTGAGCTGTATTTCATGTAAGAAAAGTACTATACAAATAAATGTTTATTAGTAGTATTATTGTTATTATTATTATTATTACTCTAAAATAACACCGATGTAAATCTATGACCGTACAACAGTTGAATTTTATAATAATCTACATAGCTTCATTAGTGAACAGAACAATAATGTAGCGTTCAGAAAAAGTTCTTAATTGGCATTAGTCATTTGTAAAACTATGTACTAAACTCTAGTGAGCCGCCTACCTAGACAGCATTTTTAGGCATCATAGGCTCTCCTAATGTGGACATGACTTTTTTTTTTATATACCTCATTTTGAGAGTTTCAAATCAGACGTTTATGATGTTTTGTTTCAGTGAATCTGTGTTGTACCGCTCAGTGTGTGTGATCTGACCCTTGTTGTAGTCCAGCAGTCGTGTCAGGAGCGTTTCTCTCTCGGGCTGCAGTTCTTTGCTGATTGTGGGTCGTTTGATCAGTTCTCGGTGTTTCTGAAACACCTGCATGCCTACCTAGACAGCATTTTTAGGCATCATAGGCTCTCCTAATGTGGACATGACTTTTTTTTTTTATATACCTCATTTTGAGAGTTTCAAATCAGACGTTTATGATGTTTTGTTTCAGTGAATCTGTGTTGTACCGCTCAGTGTGTGTGATCTGACCCTTGTTGTAGTCCAGCAGTCGTGTCAGGAGCGTTTCTCTCTCGGGCTGCAGTTCTTTGCTGATTGTGGGTCGTTTGATCAGTTCTCGGTGTTTCTGAAACACCTGCAGCAGCTGAAACGAAGACAAGACAACAACAGTGTGCAGCTGTGCGTGCATCTGTATGTCTGAGAGTTCATTCCAAATCTGCTCTCAGCCACAAACATCAAGCACATAGACAGTCTGATGCACACTGCATGTCAAAACTGAAAGAGCATTTGCAAAGTGGCATGCTTAAATCTAACTGGAAGATTTATGCAATGCATGCAATTACGTAATTTCATGAGTCAAGATGCATGGGTTTATAACAGTCTGCTGGGAAAACAACTGAATATTTATGTGCATTTATTAATACACTACCATTCACAATATTGGGGTCAGTAAGATTTATGTTTTTGAAAGAGTTACTTATGCTCACCATTTATTTGATCAAAAATACAGTAAAAACTGTAATATTGTGAAATATTATTACAATTTAAAATAACAGTTTTCTTTGTGAATATATTGTAAAATGTAATTTATTTCTGTGATCAAAGCTGAATTTTCAGCATCATTACTCCAGTCTTCAGTGTCACATGATCTTCAGAAATCATTCTAATATGCTGATTTGCTGCTCAAGAAACATTTCTGATTATTATCAATGTTGAAAACAGTTGTGCTGCTGAATATTTTTGTGGAAACTGTGATTCATTTTATTTTTCAGGATTCTTTGATGAATAGAAAATTCAAAAGAACAGCTTTTTTTAAATATAAAAATTTCATAAGATTATAAATGTTTTTACTGTCTCTTTTGATCAATTTAAAGCATCTTTGATGAATAAAAGTATTAATTTCCTTAAAAAAAATCATACTGTCCCCAAACTTTTGAATGGTAGGGTATATCCATGTTTTGTCTGTATTTTTTGTTTATTTTGTCTATTATTGTTGTATCAGGTCTCTTCCTGTCTAAGTGGGCAGCTCTTGGCTAGAATAAGCTGTGATTTGGACAAAAAGACAAACATCTGGATACACAAGACTAGTGTGATTGTGTGTACCTGCTGTGGACTGTCCTGTGCATCTATTATGAAGGTCTTGAGCTTTCCAGCTGCTTCCTGTTCTGCTGGAGCGATGAGTCGATCAAACTGAGACACAGCAGCTCTCCATAAGGGCTGAACACACATACACAGTGCTAGGTTGAGTGGTATATCAAATATTCAATATAACAGTGAAGATCTTGTGCATTCGTGTACCTCAGTATAAGGGTTGTAGTGTATCGGGTTGAGCCCTGTGAAAGGCTGATACACACGTGCGGGTGAAACCTGCAGCTTCCCTCCGGATAACAAACGCTGCAGTTTCTCACACACTGATCGCACCTGCACCACCTGAAACACACACACACACACACACACTACAGGTCATGAGGTAATGCACTAGATTATACTGCCTGAGATGATTGACAGGCATCAGTCTGACCTCCTCCAATCGCTGGGAGAGGCTCTGCAGCCCCTGTGGGCGGTGCTTCTCTCCGCTCCACGGATGAGGTGAGTAGCGTTTCCACACCTGACCAGTCAGGTGTTCACAGGCCGCCACCCACTGTTCACAGGCAGCCACGCCCCCTTTAAGCCCCTCCCTAACTGTGAAATATGGATCATCCCACAAGCGCAGGGTGCTCAGCTTCCTCTGTACAAACCTGCCAAGAGTTCCGCCTGTGAACACAAATACATCAGGAACGTCATTAGTATTTCATCAGATATATTGCTGAGTCAAGCATCATCACTTAGCAACCATGTCTGATCTGTGCACCTATGACATCCATGAGTCGGATCATGCGTGTCTCGGGGTAGAGGGCGTGCTCATTCTGTTTCCACACGTCATCTACTGTCTCACGGGTGCTCTCAATCAGGTCCAGTACCTCCACCAGACTGAAACTGTCCAGATTACTGTAGTCCTGAAACAAACACACCATGCACAGTTGATGTGGATATCTTGTAGGGTTACTTGTTCTTGGTTTTTAAGTCTGATATTAAATGTTTTCTCATAAAACAGCTTAGACGGATTGGATCTGATTTAAAGTTGATGTAAATAGCCAGTTCATGGACACCTGTGTTGTTATTGTCAACTAAAACTCAACAACTCAACAACTTAGTATCAACTTAAAAATTAATTTAATTAATTAATTAAATTAAAAATTAAAACTCAAAACTATTTAAAATGAATTGAAATAATTGAAATCAAATCAAATATAAATATTAGCTGAAAACTTAAACTTAAAAAAAAAAAACTTAAATTAGATCTAGAAATGTTGCCTTGGCAAATAATTGTAACAAAAATAAGTTGAAGTTGAAGTTGAAGTAATTAATTAAAAATAAAGCTAAATAGAAATATTGAAGTCATAAAAATGACAAAAGCACATATCATAATTGCTCAAAAAACTTTTAAAAAAAATTAGAAATGTTATCTGGGCAACTAACTGAAATAAAATGAGTTTAAGTTGAAATGTTAGAAGTACTAAAACTGAAATAAATCTAAATTAAGCTAAATAGAAATATTTAAAAATTAATAAAAATGACAAAAGCACATAACAAAATTACTTTCAAAAACTTACATTAAAACTGTTACCTTGGAAACTAACTTAAATAAAATAAGTTGAAGTTGAAGTACTATAATCACTAAAACTGAAATACAAATAAATTAAAACTAAATAGAAATATTAAAAAAATGACAAAAAACACAACATAATTACTTAACCTAAAATTAAAAATGTTAACAATAAGTTTAAGCTGAAGTACTAAAAGCACTAAAAATTAAGTAAATATAAATTAAAGCTGAATAGGAATATTAAAAAAAAGAATAATAATAAAAATGACAAACGCACATAACAAAATTACTTTAATTTAAACTCAAATCAAATTAAATATGATAACTTGGCAACTAACAGAAATAAAAAGTTGAAGAACTAAAATTAAATTGAAAAACTGAAATTTAGCTAAATAGCTAGCAAAATAGAAATATTAAAAAAATGAAAAAAGCACCTAACAAAATTACTAAAACATCAACTAAAATTAAAATGAAAACTGAAAAGATAAAGAAGAAAATGTAATTCAAAATATTAATAAAAACTATAATAGTATATCAATAATACTAAAATAACACTGGTTCATGCACACTAACAAATGGAGTAACTTTGAACGACTACGTGTTGAACGGAGCGCATTCACGTCCAAATGTGCATGTATGCACCTTCTCAATGGTGGTGAAGAGTTCAGAGAAGTGTGCCGCTCTGTCTCTCTCTCTGCTATGCTGTCCGGAGCGACTGACATCAGCCCAGAAGCCGAACTCATCCAGTGGGGTCATGATACCTGCACACACCAGTATGTGGAATCTAAATGCATAAAAGTACAAGCTGGGAAAAGCAGGGGTTTGAATGAGAACTCACTCGACACATCCGTCTCCGAATGACTCCGTTCCCCAGAATCCTTTGGGTGTGAGTGTCTGAGCACAGAGCCCAGCCCGACCTCAAGATCCGTGAGCAGAGACTGAAGCTTTGAGTCGAACGATTGACTCCATTTATCATTCTGCAGAAAACACATACAACACGCATTACAAACCCAACAGCAATTCACATCCACGTGAAACACGTCCCATGTGTCTGCGTCTGACCTGCAGCAGAACGGGGCCGTAGACCTGTCTCAAGGCCTGGTACAGGGTGCTGATGGGAGACTCCAGCATAGAGGACACCAGGATGGATCGGTGCAGGTTCTCCTCGCTCACCACACACGGATGAGGTTTGAAGAACAGCAGAACCCTGCCGTCGACGTCCATGTTCTCCAGCTACACAGAGACAACATGAGCCATAATTCAGCATTTTCTGACAATGTTTGGTAGTTGAATGCAGAGCTGAGCGATATACTGAACATTTGCGATTTATTGAATATTATTTCAATATTGCAATATAAAATTATGCTAATTATCATGAATACTGTAGAGATTTTAATGGACTTTTTTTTTTGAACAGTAAATTTCCTGAAGATTGTGGCTCTGAAATAAATCAGCAGCAAACACGCTACATGAAAATGAATCACTGAATTAGTTTTTGATTAATTTGATTTAAATTAAACTTTTAATTTATGCCAGTTTCAAAGTGCTAGTTAAATAAAGATTCATTTTCATCCTCACTCAAAAGTGCTCACTGAAGCGTGCATTAAAAATAGTTTTAATTTATAGTTTTACCCATTAATTTTTTCATCGATTAAAAAAATGTATAAATACATTTTTCGACGTGCGATGTAAGTATAAGATATTTAATCATCATACAGTGTAGATAGATAAAATATAAAACTAAAATAAAAATAATTGAAAGCTAAATAAAATTATTGAAAAACAAGTCAAAAAATGACAAAAGCACATAAAAAATTACTAAAACTTAAACTAAAGTTAAAATATAATATATATAAAATTTAAATCAAAAAACATTTCAATCAAGTCATTTAGCAGCAGACACTTTTTAAAACTATTTTTCATTTGTTGTGTGACTTACAAGTGAAAAATACTGAGATATAATTATACATCATATAATATATAATTATATATAAAGGTCATATATATTATATTATATATTTATTTTAATTATAAATAAAGGTCAACCTTTATTTGACCCTCTAACTCTAACACTTTCTATTCTATTTTAATTGTACTTTATCTATAATTATCTTTTTTTTATTCTTTATTTAAAAAAAACAACAAAAAACAAAAACAAGCTTTCTATTTTTTCTATTCTATCTACCGTACTTGTTTTTCTTTGTTTGTGTGTGTGTGTGTGTGTGTGTGTGTGTGTATAATATATATATATATATTATATACACCTTGCTACGTGTACTGCGTTAGGCTAACCGAGACTTGTCATTTGCACTTATATATTGTTGCTCTTTTGTTAGTTTTGATTGCTTTTATTCTCCTCATTTGTAAGTCGCTTTGGATAAAAGCGTCTGCTAAATGACTAAATGTAACTGTAATATCACAGCTGTATGTAGCTCACAGCACCTTGTTTGAGAACTGCAGCTCATCTGCGTTTCTGGTGACGGTGAGCAGGAATTCGTTGCTATCATCTAAGAAGTTATCGAGAGGACGGCAGGTGGACAGAGACGCCGGTGTGTCCAGACGGAAGTAGTTTCCCGCCGTGGTCAGGATGAAGAGTTTACGAGGGTCGTCTGTCCTGGGCGGCATCTTTCACCTGTTTAAATATCACATGCATCAGCTACAGAAATCCCAACCGAGGAAAAACAAGACATACAAAACAGCTACTGAAGAAATCATACAGTCAGCTTCCATATTTTCTCCCAATAAAAATGATAAATCTACATAACAAAACTGCTGTTTATGATTGCATTAAAACGGATCAAATAATACTTTTACTGCACAGGTCTGACAGACTGACAGACAGGTAAATATCAGTTACAGGCCTGTGATATTTTAGACCCAATTTCAATCCAACTTCAAATCCAATTTTTTAAAATCCAATTTAATTTGGATTTTATTTATTTTACAATTTAACACAAAACGTCACAATACAAAAGCTCAATGGGTCTTAAAAATAAGCATCAATATTTATTGCAAACTGTTTAATTTCTAGGTTTCCGTTTTATGAGTTAAAAAGGTCCAGTTTAGAGATTTGTTTGTGCATTTAGAGCAATTTTTATCTGTTTAATAAATTGACAGACGAAACCTGGCATCTGGACCAAAGATTACTACAGTTTAACACACAACGAACGTTGTTGCCACACAAACATGCACACTGCACAAATACAAAAATATAACGCATTAAGTACATAATGAGGACAATAAATGAAGAGAAAAGATCGTCTTACGGCGTATTGAAATCAATTCCCGACAGATTGTGACAGTTTGATAAAGGATTAGCGCGCTAGGCTAAGCTAACCAACATCTCTCAGTCTCACATGAAGGGAATTTACTCCTGCAAAATAAAATAAGCGCTTCTGTTACACGGAACGCAGTCGGTTGTGAAGAACGCGCTTTGCGTGCTATTTTAAACGCATCGTAGATATCAAATCCGTATTATTTGTCGGGTGGATGTGCAGGAGCCGCTTGAGGGAATGTTGTGGCGCACTAGCAGTGAAGCTGGCGCGGTTGCTGGGGCAACTACGGACACGTCGTGACGTATGGGGCGTCGTGAATGCCAAGCGCGTACGAATGTAAAAGAACGTAGATCCAACGCATTTACATTCCATTGACATTTAGTCATTTAGCAGATGAGGAGGACAATAGAAGCAATCAAACCAACAAAAGAGCAAACATATGTAAGTGCTGTGACAAGTCTAACGCAGTACACGTAGCAAGTATTTTTTCCCCTTTTTAATAAATAAAAAGAAAACAAGTAGATAGAATAGAAAAAGAATAGAGAACGCAAGTGTTAAAGGATCAATTATTTTTTTAATAAAAAAGAAAAAGTGTTAGAGGGTGAATTTTTTTTTTTATAAATAAAAAGAAAACTAACTACAAATTAACAAAGTGCATATAGTACTGAATTTTATCTATATCTATATATCTATCTGTCTATCCATCCATCCATCATCTATCTATCTATCTATCTATCTATCTATCTATCTATCTATCAACAGGATTTAGTTCAGGTGTGAATGGAGTCGACTCCAGCGGTAGAGAGAGAGAGAGAGAGAGAGAGAGAGAGAGAGAGAGAGAGAGAGATGGGGGAAATGTCAGCCGTGATGAAATGTTACTGTTCCTCCGAGTTAGTGGCCGCAGGGGTTCTGAACACACTCCAAAACTCACACACACACACACGCACACACTACACAACCACAGCTAAGCGACAGTCTACCAACAACCTCAACCCACTTTATAAATGTGTTTCCAGGAATAAGACTCACTGCTAATAATAAGAGAACATGCAGATAATAATTAAGACAAAATAGCTTGAGAAAAAGTACTGTAATGGTATCAGATGATAAAATTACCATATTTTAATGTACTGAATTATTACCAGTACCATTATACTTCTAGGAACACACTGGTTCTACTGTGGTACTGTACATGTCCAAAAAAAAACATGGAATTGCCATTGTATCATGTCAAAAGATGGCATTACCACAGTAGTTTTTGGTACTTTTTTTTGTTAGAAAACAATGACCTAATATATATTTTTAAAAAACCTTTAGAATTACATAGGGAGGCTTATGACTATGTATTAAACTCACCAAAATACATACAAAAAAATAAAGGCAATTCTAATCTGATAGAAAATACATCAGCAAAGATTAAAAAAAAACTGAAGTGGTGCTGCCAGACAATGGAAACTGTTGTTGAACTGAACAGAGACTCATTAAAGTAGCAGCAGGTGGCGCTGTTGCATTACATGGCAGTTTGGATGTCAATATTCACTGTATGTACTGATCTTAACCTGAGTGTTTCTTGTTAAGTAAAACTTGTTTTCATTCAACTGGCTATAAAATATATATTAGATGAACAACTTAAGTTTTAAGTACTAAAATTACTAAAACAATTCAACTAAAGATAAAAATGGAAAAATAATAATAATAGAAATAAAAAAGCACGTAAAATTAGTCAAACTAAAATTAAAATGAAAACTGAAGATATAAAATAAAAGTTTATTTAAAATAACAAGACAGAACCAAACAGATTAAACTACAACATGAACATAATCAAGGCTGTAAATCAGGATTAAATTTAAACTGAAATCTCATTAAAGAAAAGTGTCGTTTCCAGTTTGTAAAAATATGAAAATATTGTGTGTACTGTAAAATGGTTACAATGGGGCAAAAAATTGCTAAAAATGTCCTCATCCTCAGGTCATCTAAGATTAGGATGAGTTTGTTTCTTCATCAGATCTGGAGAAATGTAGCATTGCATCAGTGTCTCAGCAATGGATGCTCTGCAGTGAATGGGTGCCGTCAGAATGAGAGTCCAAACAGCTGATAAAAACATCACAATAATCCACAGCACTCCAGTCCATCAGTTAACATCTGGAGAAGACAAAAGCTGAAACAAATCCAGCATTAAGACGTTTTTACCTTCAATCCGTTGCTTCCGAGTCCATAATCCATAATAACACTTTCTCCAGTGAAAAAGTGGTCTGGTGTGAATCAGGAGAGAAATCTGCACTGCTCAAGCACCGTTTACAAGCCAAAACAGCTTTAAACAAATATGTGGCTGGATTTTTATGTGAGATGGACTTTTTCACTGGAGGAAGCATTATTATGGATTATGGACTCATATCTTAGATGGAAGCAATGGTTTGAAGTTAAAAACATCTTGATGGATTTGTTTCAGCTTTTGTCTTCTCCAGATGTTAACTGATGGACTGGAGTGCTGTGGATTACTTGTGGATTATTGTGATGTTTTTATCAGCTGTTTGGACTCTCATTCTGACGGCACCCATTCACTGCAGAGCATCCATTGCTGAGACACTGATGCAATGCTACATTTCTACAAATCTGTACAAGAAACAAACTCATCCTAATCTTGGGTGACCTGAGGGTGAGCACATTTTCAGCAATTTTTTATTTTTTTTTGGGTGAACTACTCCTTCAACGTAAATGTAATTTATGTCTCTTCATACAAAGCAGTCTGTGGACAGCAAAAAGTTGTTGTGAATCCAAACGTGAAGAGCAGAGAACAGTGTGCTCTTTGTTAGTTTGTATAGTCTCTCTGGTAATGAGTGTTTACAGCTTGTTTCATATTTCTGTAACGGACTATAAATGCCAACACAACACTCCTCATAAAGTTCCACTAAACGCTCGTTTTCCTCGGAGCAGCTTTTACCTGCCGACATATTTTTATACTTTCTCAGCATTTAAACATGTTTGGATCAATCAAACCAGGTGAAGGTGTCCGATTCTCAGCCAGGCTAAACACGACGTCTGTGAGTGATGGATGCTGGTGTGTGTTTGAGTGTAAGATCAGCCATGTGTTTGCGATATCTGACTGAGATCAGAGCTGTGTGTGTTTCATAGAGCTTAATGTTTAAATAAACTCACACACAGGCTGTAATTCACTGTGTATCATCGCTTGTAATGTGGAGCCTCCCCTCCCGCTCTATTACACATCACATTTTTCCCTCTCCCTCCCCCCTTCATTAATCACACTGTCATCCGTGTGTTCTTTCACTGTTTACATTAAACAGGACATTCACACCAGACCTGGGAGACGCTGGAGGAATTTAACCCTTCACACGCACACCTTTACACACATCATTACCACAAACCTTTGCGCACACACATAGTGGGAAAAAAAGTGAAGTGAAAGTGATGTGTAGCCAAGTATGGTGCCCCATACTTGGAATTTGTGCTCTGCATTTAACCCATCCAAGTGCACACACACAGCAGTGAGTCGTGAACACACACACACACACCTGGAGCAGTGGGCAGCTATCTTTGCTGCAGCGCCCTGAGACTTGAAGACTGGAGTAATGATGCTGAAAATTCAGATTTGATCACAGGAATAAATTACAGTTTACAATATATTCACAGGGAAGACAGCTATTTAAAATCGCAATAATATTTCATAATTTTACAGATTTTTCTGTATTTTTAATCAAATAAATGCAGCCTTGGTGAGCAGAAGAGACTTCTTTCAAAAACTTGAAAAAATCTTATACAGACCCTTTTCAATGACAGTGTATATTTTGACAAAAGATTATGAAGACAAACATTGTTTAGTTTTTTTTATATTTGAGATAAAAGGATGACCAGTTCACAATGACAACATGAATGTGCATTAAGAAAGTTAAATTGTGATTTTATGTTGACTTCTACAATGCACTGAAAAAAAGTTTAATAGGCTAAAATTTACTCAATATTCACTCAAGAAATTGGTAATAAGTACACTGTAAAAAAAATTCCGTAAAATTTACGGTAAAAAAAACGGCAGCTGTGGTTGCCGGAATTTTACCGTAAAAAATACGGTAGCAACATTTTAGGTTTTACGGTTTTAACTTAAATTTACAGTTAAATCCCGTAATTTCATTAACTGATATAATGTTAATATACCAACCTATTGAAGTACTGAAATCTGTTTTGTACCTTTGTAATACACTGATAACCACCAAATCCAGGTGGTGATGAGAAAGTCACATGATGAAACAAAGCCCATATGTAATGTCCAATACAGTTTTTCACCGTATATAGTAGGGGAATTTACCGTTAACCATTTAACAGGTTTTTACTGTAGCATTTTTACAGTCTTTTACCGTTAAATTCACGGCCATTTTTTACAGTGTAACATGAAAAACATACTCCAATAATCTTAATTTTACTTATTTTTATTTATGTTTTATTTATTTTGTAAAAATAATTTTTACAGTGTGGGAGGAGCTTGCCTCCTGATTCTGTCAATCACAATGCAATGAATGCTTACCTCATTCATCTGGAATTCCTCCACTTAATTTCTAATATTTTCTATTCTATATTCTGAGTTTTATATATTCAGTTTTAATTGTGTAATTTAGCTTTATCCAAATTATTGCTGATGAAGGATAGTGATAATGATAACACAGGCCTCAGTGACAAAACTACATTTCCCATCATCCTCTGCGGCAGCACAACAATGACAGAATAACATAAATCATCAATTACTCCCCTAACGCACCTCATTTACTGGTCATTTTGTTGTATTAGTGCTAAAAAAGTGTCCTGTCTTTGTCTGAAATGCAAAAAGTGATTATACACATATGAAACTGACCAATAAATCCATTTGATCCTAGTCAACGGAAGACTTGAAGTCAGCAACAGCTTGAAAAACACTGAGAAATATGTGTGTATTCGGTGTCATGATTAGGGTCTGAGATCAGCAGCTAAAGCTAACAGCTGTCCTCTCTCTGGGTTTCATCGTTGTGCATGTGTGACTGTCTTTAAATGTGTGCGTATTAATAGACGTGCTTAAGACTCGACCTTTCCCTTGAGAAGGCACGTTAAACTCGGTCGGTTAACTTGAGACGCCGCAGATCATAACTGAGACGTTTCGCTCAGCGTGGTCTCCATATCTGAACTCCAGCGCTTTAACTTTGAGACGTACACATTACTGAGCTAGTAAGAGCATTAGCGTTAGCTTTGAAGCCTCT